GTCGTCGTTCGGGCCGCCGACGTCCTTGCTGCAGCCCTAACCAGCGTCGCCGATGCGTGGAGGGTTGGACGGCCCGGGCGCCGCCCTCCTCACGGCCGTGGCGCCGAGCATAGATCTCCTTGAGGGCACGCGTTGGCGCGCCATCTCCTCGCGGACATAGTCCTCCCGCGCCCATCTAAGGGCGGTCTCGGCGGCGGCCATGTCCTCATGCTCCTTCTTCACGGGGAGCAGCCCCGGCTCGGTCTTCGGCTGGACGAGGTGAGAAGATGGAGGAGAGGGGCGACCGCCGTCCTCGTCGATGACTAGGGTGTCGCCGCGGGTGCGGCGCTGGAGCGGCGTCTCCTGTGGCTCCGGCTTGACGGGGCGAAGTGTCGGCGATCCAGTGGACGGGGAGCCTGACGAAGAGGAGGTCGCCGTCTTCATTCGCCGCAGCGTCCAGGAGCTGCCGCGGTGATAGAAGGAGGAGGCCGCCGGGTACTCCAAGTGTGGCATGTTGCCGGACTCGATGTACTCAAGGACGGTCTCGAGGGTACGGCCGGGGACGCCCCACCATTGGCACCTCCCATTGGTGTTGAGGCAGCCGCAGGGCTCGATGCCGTCGGTGGAGGTAAGCTCCTCCTCGTGGTGGCATTCCAAGTATGCCGTCCATAGCGTGTTGCTGTCGGGGGCGTACCTCGGTTGGTTCCGCACCTCCACCGGCAGCAACGACCAGATGTGGCCGATCTCGGCCCACCGTTCAGCTCCGGTGGGCGCTGGAGGCACCGGGACGCCGCCGGCGCTGAGCCTCCAGGCGCCCGGCACCCGCATGTCCGGCGGGGCCGGGTAGTCGGCCTCGTAGAGGAGGCGCGCCTCGTCCTCGTGCAGGTGGCGGCGGCCGAAGCCGTTGGCTGCCGCACCATCGCCTGGGTAGCGCTCAGCCATGCTCGTCGGAGTGGGAGGGAGGAGAGATAAGCATCGGCGGTGAGAGGTCGAGAGGGGAGAGGGTTATGTGGCGATTGAGTGTGAGCTTACTGGCGAGGGAAGGGTGGCTTTTTATAGCCGGTTGTGGGCAGCGAGAGGACGGCCGACGTGTGTACGCGTGGCACACGTGGCGGGAGCTGGCGGGACGCGCATCGCCGCGCGCCTTCACTGCACCGTCTGTGAGGCATCAATGGAGGCTGACCGGCGCGGCAGCGCGGCAGCCTTCGCATTGATTCCTGCGGGAACCAAGGCGATGATGGTGATGAGGACGACGATGGCGCCGAGTCGCCGACTCGTCGGGCTCGCCAGGTTTTCGCGCCAAAAATGTTTCCCCGGGCGCCCCCAGCGCGCCGGGTTCGGCATGGGTCCGTCGACACCAAATTCGGCCCTAACGGCGAGAAAATGGACTTCTGAAGGCGCGACTGGGCAGATTTTTGACACCGGCGATAAAAAAGGTCTTGAAGGGGCTTGTTGGGGGCGCGGCTGGAGATGCTCTTAGCAAGTATCTCAGGAAATGTGAGGCTCTGAAATTCTGAATGCCTCACTTCTTCCCTTGCGTTCCTCCCGACACGGAATTTGGTCCAATCCATACACTCAGTCCCACTCAAGTCACACAATTTTGTGCCAATTTCTAAATCAAAAAACATCTAGTACCTATCAGCCTGTTACTTTTTTTAGACAAACTCATAAGCTTTATTTAGAACATCACAATGTTTATAGGAACGAATAAAAGTTGTTCAGGCTGGCCTAACCAAGCACGAGACCGATCCCTAGAGTAAAAGAATGCTTAGCGAGATTGTAGGCCTCGACATTCGAGGTTCTAAAGTCATGGCTAAAGATACACGACTCAAAATCTTTAGCCCTATCTATTATTTCATGTACTACTGCCGCATACGATGCCGCGCTACCATCTTTGATTGCTTCCACGGCTATCATGTACTACAGCATGTTACTACAATCCAGGTTCGCTCATCATGTGCGTGTACATATTAAGATGCTGAATTAAAGCCATTGCGAAGGTAGATACAATGGGGGCCTCCAATTTGAGCGCAGCCCCCGCTCCCCAGGACATGTTTTTGGGCCGGCCCATGTGCCAGGAGGACGCACCTGCTTTCCACATCGATATTTTTTTTCTTTTTTTCCTTTTCTGTTTTTGTTTTTTCTAATTTAAAATAATACGAGATTTCAAAGAAACTCCAATTTCAGAATAATAGCGAACTTCTTAACAATGTTAGATAAATCATTAAATGTTCGTCAATTTGAAGAATGTTCCGGAAATCATAGAATGTTTGTGGATTCAAAAAATGTTTGAGACTTTGAAAAAACTGTATGCATATTTAAAATATGTTCATGATTTTTAAAAAATATTCTGGAAAGTAAAAAAACATTCGGATATTAAAAAAATGTTCATGAATTAATATTCGTGAATTCAAATATTGTTAATGATTTTTTTTAGAAATTTTTGGTAATTTTCGATATTGTTCCGCAAATTGAAAAACAAATCACATATTCAAACATAATATTTAATTTTAAAATATGTTTATGAATTCAAAAAAACGTTCATGATTTTTTTACAAATGTTCAGGAAATTCATAAACTGTTCAAGAATTTCAACAATTGTTCCCAAAATACGAAAAATGTTTGTTGATTCAATAAATTGTTCACGAATTTTAAAACAATGTTCAAATTTCAAAAATTATTCATGAATTTTCCTAAAAATGCTAACTATTTCAACAAAGGATCATGATTTTTTTAAATGTTTGTGAATTTAAAAAAGGTTCATGATTTCATAAAATTATTCTTGATTTCAAAAAATGATCATGATTTGACAAGATGTCCACAAATTTGAAATATGTTCGTAAAATAAAAAAGGAAAATATAAAAAAGGTTAAAATATATAATGGAAAAAATAGAAAAGGAAAAATCAAAATAATAATAAAGAAAAACCAGAAGAAGAAAAAAAGAACTGGTTCATGGAAGGTTCTAGAACTTCTTACAACCGGTGGGAAAAACTAGACAGGGTTGGCCTATACACTGGACAGGCACGCGATGGTGGCATGCGTTAGGTCGCTAGGAGCAACATGAATTTTGAAAATCTTGGGAAATAAATCCACATTGATTTGACAGTATTACGGCCCAGATATGCCTCACCTTGTCGATTATCGGCCCAAGTAGGTCGGTCTGAGGCTCCCTAGTAGCTTGGTTCTACCCTGGGCCATCAGGCTGGCCCATGGGCCTCATAGGAGAAGACTGGAGGCCTTGCCATTCAAGACAAGGAAGCCCGAGCCGTGGAGGACTCCCCTCCACCGATGTTGCCGACTAGGTTGTGTATCCCTATGTGCCCCAGTATCTTATATAAGTCATGGCCGAACTAGTCAATAGATCATCATGCAATTCTTTGGTTATACTTGTACTTTGTACACCCCCAATCAAAATATATACAGAGCATGAGTAGGGTTTTACCTCTATCAGAGGGCCTTAACCTGGGTAAAATCGTCTCCTGTTTGCCTTTCGACCTAATCACCACACCGGGATACCCTACCGAGGGATCTGTTGAAATCATCTCAGAAAATGGTGGCTCATGCAGGTCCCGCGTGGAGAACACAGAGATCTGATGGGATCTTTGATGGACGCCGATGCGGTCTATGTGCCAGGTAAACTCTTTGTCTTTGTCGTGGTCTCATTTGTCGCTGATTCGATCGGACAAATCAGCCACTTTATTGTTTTTTTCCCTTGTGTTGTACTCAATTGTGTAATTGTAACTAAGTAATTTAGCCAATAGTTATGTTGAATACCTTTAGTTTTTGAAGTACCACCAAAGTAGTGTCTCCAGTTCTTTATGTTAGTACACTATATATAGTCATGTAGCCTTTTGTATTTATCCCAATATATAAGAGGTTTCCTGCATATTTTCTGCACGTGTATACTCCCTTCGTTTCAAAATAGATGACTCAATTTTGTACTAACTTTAATATAAAGTTAGGTTTTAGTATAAAGTTAGGTTATAAGGCAATGGGTTGTCCCTGTTGGCTGTTGCATTAATATTGCTCATACGTCATATCCAGTCAGTGGTTTCCAGAAGTTCAAAGGGTCATTGCTCCTGTCCACTTAAAATTATCTTTCTTCAGTGCTTGATACAAGGGCTTCCAAATAATTTCATAGTTTCTAATGAACCTCCGGTAATAGCCTGCAAGACCAATGAAGCTTAAAATTATCTTTCTTCAGTGCTTGATACAAGGGCTTCCAAATAATTCCATAGTTTCTAATGAACCTCCGGTAATAGCCTGCAAGACCAATGAAGCTTCTAAGTTGTGTGACACCTGCAGGTGTGGACCAATCTGCAATAGCCTGTAATGTAGAAGGGTCTGTTTTAACTTAGAAATCTGAAGCAACTCCATTTACAGTAATAATGTGCCCCAGGTAGTCCACTTGTTTCTGGCCAAAAGTGCATTCGGACATCTTTGCGCACAGCTGATTCTGTTTTGAGTATTTCAAATACTGCTCTCAAGTGTTCAGTGTGCTCTTTCGAGAGCTACATATGGGCAACTGGAGTCTGGCCATAGAAACAAGGAACTGGCTACTGTGCTTAAGCTTTTAACTTCTTTCGCTTTGAACACTTTAATGGCACATCGGCAAAATCAGTAACGGCCCACCAAAACTATTTTCAGTACCCAACGGCCCATGTAGGATGCCAGCAGCAGGCACATCATACGACATGATCATGTGTGCAATCGAGAACATCATATAAGCAGATTTTGCTACAGCCTCCGATCCATACTACTTGTCGTTCAAATAGATGTATCTAGATCCATTTGAGCGACAAGTAATATGTATCAGAGGGAGTATTAAAAAAGAAAGAGAAGACATGCAGCTCTACTTCGCAGGTACAATGCAAGTGCACATCTGTAGTTATTCGATGAGGACATTACAGATTCAATGGGAAAAATCCCAACCCAGATTCCTAGAGCTGCCACAGAGTTTAGATCGAATCCATGTTAACCTGTTCATGCCTCTTGTACATCGCCAGGCGTCGCAGCAGTCTACTGATTGAGTCTATAGCCTCTTCCTCTGAAGGCAGTAGGGCCTGTGTTAGCTGGCCGGACTGGAGAGTTTGCCTGCACGCCCAACCTGAATCGAGCAACAATCTTGTGTCTGTGCAAGTGCAGCATGTTAAGGAACCAACGAGCATATATCACTGGGAATGAAGTAACAATATCATAAAAAAGCTGTAGTAAACAATGTTGGTAGGTAACTATGATTGAGAGAAAAATGCTTCATAACCATAAGGATACACCCACATAGGAGTCTTGAGGTAGTTCTTTCCACTAGCTAGCGGATACAACACTGTAAAGAAGTAGTACAGATGTCCAACCATAATGCCCAAAAGGCCAGGCAATATTGGAGAGCCAAATATCACATCCAATCCAAGCATAGCCCATGGTAGATAAAATGACTGCACAAATAGTAAGTACATTTACGACATGAGTATATTCAATCTAGGGCAGTTCTGTGCCACGATCAAGCACTTAATAATAGTATGAGAACAAGGCATTACCCTCAATTGGACGAGGCCATACATGCTTATCTGAGAGTTTGGGTACTCTCGGCTCCAGACATAAAGAAGCATGCTAACCATAGGAATACCCAACAAATAAGTCTCGAGATAGGGAATAGCAGACAGTACCTGAACCAATCAAGATAGAAATAAATTTAACTCTTAGGAGATTCGATTCATTTGTTTGTAACACGTAATAAGTAGGAGTGCCACTAACCAGTAACGAGATTGCACCAAATATCATCATCCACAAGAAATCTGCTGTCCGCTTCTCAAATGAACCCTTCTCCAACTGCACACCATATCTTGCTCTACATGGCAACATACATAAACAATTTCAACCAACAGCTGCCAGTTTATCTTTATAATATTCTGAAAGTAACCGTGTTTATAGTAATTGTGATTAATAGGTATCTGACAAGACTTACATCATCAGAAGGCGAATACCAAAGTTGATGGAGAACTTGCCGAGGAAAAAGAAGCTTGTAAATAGCCTCCATATCTGCGTGGTCCAAAATTGAAGATTACTGTACAATCTCAAAGCAGGATCATAATGTGCTTGTTACAAATAACTAATGCGAGAGAGAGAGAGAGCATGAGCAGATGCTAACCTGAAAACTCTTGAACACATGGGGATAAGATAAATAAAGAAGGCCTGGGTCTAGTATCTGGAGCTGAACCAGCACTGTGGTAAAGAAACACAATGTCCCATATGCCTTGCTTACTGGTGGAAGTGAATTGTAGTACCTGAAATAGGAAAGTAAGTCCTCAATTTTTCCGTACTGCCGAGATTGAACTAATGCAGAAAAAAAATATAGCTCATCCACTGCGATAATGATTCAGCATCCTAACCTATTTCTCTCAATATGCACCCATCTTAACACCATGCATGGGAGAAAACCCACCACAACATGCAACCATTCATGGGAAAATGTTTAGCAAGTTCCTTTCTATTATGCTACTTATACCCAACATTTTTTTACTACTATACAATAATCAAATACAATAAATTACATGCATTTTCAGTTTCAGTTCTCGTATTATTAATACAAATATTCATGTTCTAATATAACCAAATCTCATTGAAATATATTGCAATTAATCCCCGCAGCAACACGCTGGGTATCATCTCTGTTTTCCTATTAGAAGTGAACCACAAAGCTAAACTGCAGCTAGAATTTATATTCTTGTCTTCTAATATTAGAGATCTCCAAACTATTTTTAATGCCAGTGAGAAGTTCATCCAGTACAATCATGATTCAGTAATTGTGATGTACATCACGGAAGACATTAAATTACACATCAGAAGTATTTATCACAAAAGAACAAACAAGAGAATTTTGCAAATAAAACTTCAAGGTGACATACATTAATAGTGCAAAATAAATGTATGGGGCAAACCAACAAAAATCAAGTCAACCTATAAGGAAAACATAAACAGAGTAAAGCCCTTACGCAAGAGAACTAATTGGTGTCAAACTGCTCAAAATTTGCCATATCCAAATCTCAGTTCTCAGTTAACAAATCTAGATAACAATCTTTTAAGCAAAGACAGTGATAGTGTATGAGAATCATGCAAAATTAGTTCAACATTTCAAAATTATACCAAAAAGTGACTTCTTCTGACCAAATGTGTATCCTGGAAACATCCAACACGGATACTTCCAACCATTGTTGGCTCTTAGCGGCCAGAGCCTGATTGTATTGCAACTTTGCAAGCATGTTGCAATGAGTCTGTAGTAGGTTCCCAACAAATAGGCACAAAAGATAATACCTCAATTCTTTTAAGTTGTACATCAAGTTGGTCTCACGTGCAACCTTTGACGTATACCTTCTCCACTTGTATGTGAGCAGAAGTTATTAAAACTGACGTAATGTTATTTAAGCATTTCTTAACCAGTCTAGAAATTCATTTTTGTACAAGAAATCTAGATATTATTATTTTTTAGGACATTAGTATCCAATGTTTCACATTTTCACTGCCAGAAGGCTATTGAACTGTACTAGCTATGGAATATTTTAATATTGAAGACTGCGAAATTCCAGAATACTGCACTTGGTGCTACTTGGGAACCATGCCTCCGAAACCAAAATTTACAAACCAAGAGAAACTTGTGGCCAACTACAGCAAAAGTCAGTGTAAGCGGGCATCAGCCTCCCATGGACCTTCCCAAAAAAACATCAGCATGAATAACCGAGCATCTGGGAGAATTGTTGTTCATGAGAACTACTCCCTCCGTCTCAAAATAAGTGACTCAATTTTGTACTAAAGTTAGTACAAAGTTGAGTCACTTATTTTGGGACGGAGGGAGTACAAATTAGCTATTGAAACAACAAGCTTATAAACCAATGTATCCCTTCGAATTGGCGCTAAGCTCCAGAACTACGGCCTAGCTGCTTACGGTCTCACAACTCACAACAATCAATTGGTAGAACCACCAATTCAGGGCTCAGTTATCCTGAAATAGAAAAGGCGGCCATGACCTCCTGCTCAAGTTTGAAAGACGAGCTCCCATGTTCCCCATACATGTCACAAACTCACAAGGATAATCTCTTATGTACACCCAGTGGCGAAGGCAAGAATATTTTTTAGGTGTGGCAAAATTTATGAAGGAGAAAACCATGTATAATACAACTAAGCAAGAGTTAAATAAAATACTAACTAGGTATGTATTTGTGTTCGGCAAGTACAACCAAAAACCAATACTAACCAATTAGTTTCAACAATGTTCGGTGGGCGGTAACAACATTTGCTGCAAAACAAGTTCAGTTTCAGTTATGTATCTTTCATACGTACTTGCCCTCGCTCTTCGACGTTTTCTGCATACTAGCCCAGTAGTTCTCACATCCTTGCTGTCTAGCCCAACCCACCGGCCGGCCAGTGATTGCTATGCTCGCAGCTGTTGTGTGCCTACCGCCTGCACACATGATCACAACTCCACAATTGTTTCGACTTTCCGAGATTTTGTAACTGGCGGCCGCTAATTTTTTTTAGAGAACAGATTGAGCAAAATGATGGTGCTTATTGGCCAGTCGGATCATGTATTGGTGTGTTTAATTTATTTGTGGGGTCAAATCACAACTCGCAAACCCAGTGACAAATGCATCAGGCCCACCAGTAGGCAGCAACCAGGCCTAACGCGCACTGAATCACAACTCGCAAACCAGTGACAAAGTTTACATGTACTAGTGACAAAGTTTACATCTACTAGTATGTGTACTAGGTGTATTTGCAGAAAAATTTAGGTATGGCAGCTGCCAAACCTTGACAGATACTAGCTGTGTAGTATATATAACAGTAAAGCAAGAAGCAGATCAGACCGACGAAATAACACGAAACAAACTGCGCTAACTCTCCAAGGTAGTCCCAACCCTAACACAACTAAATTCGTCGCAAGAACATTTACAGTCACTACACTACAGCGTGTCCCGCCGCACCCGCCCCTCGCTCCCTTGCAAAGCCAGCACAGTCCCATCCAATTAGCTCAAGCATACGAAACTAGAGTCCAATCCGAACAATATTTCTCCAGCTCCTCCGTTAACCGCCCCGCCCAAACCATCGATCCCAATAAGAATAACCGCATCTGTGCCTAGCAATTTGAGAATTGAGCAAAAGACGATGCTAAACTTCTGTAGGATTCGAGAGGACTCACTCTGCGGGTGAAGACATCTCGTCGCGTGGGGGAGCGGCGATGGATTCGGATCTTCCAGGTCTCGGCCTCTCTCGGGTCTCGTCGTCAGTCTCGTGCTCGCTGGGCGTGGGCGGAGAAGTAGAATAAAGTGGTAGTCGCTTGGCGAGACTTCCAGAGGGGGGAAGCTAGATGGACCGCCGGATCCATGACCGGACGCATGCAGGTGGTTCGGACACGTAGGTTGTAGGCTCTATGGCGCACGCCATTGGCCGGGGCCGTGGCTTGGTGGTGAGGTGGTTCCTGTGACGTGGCGAGGAACTACGGGCCGTTGGATTTATGGGACCTGACGGTGGACGATGATGGGGAGATTATGGTAAGATGGCTGGTCCATGATGCCCGTAGAGGTTTTTTTCTTAACACAGTACAGACGCAAACGCTCATATACACGCGCATACACTCACTCTTATGAACGCACACACGCACACCCTATCCCTATGAGCATCTTCGAAAGACTGAGCCGGCATATCATCTTGAAATTTACGAAGTCAGCATAGACACCTCGTCATCAACGGGGACGTCTCCTTCCACTAGATGCGCATCGCCGAAAATTCTGAAATAAATTCAGGAATAAATGCGAGCATCAGGACTTGAATCCTGCTGATCTGGGGATACCACAGTTCCTCTAACCATCCAACCACAGGTTGGTTCGCGATGGCCGTAGATGTTGAAAACTTGATTTTGGTACAATTCAGAAAATAAAGTAGCTTGATTTTGGTAAAGTCTCTAATACTTTATTACTATATATATCCCAAGCCTTTCGTAGTATTTGGTGAAGGCAACGCTGATGAACTATGTGTTGTTGTCGGTGATGATGTGGGGAAGACTTGTGTGAGATCTTACATTAGGTGAGATCAATGAGATCCATTTTTTGAAAAAAAAATCTAAAAGTTCAAACATTCTCAAAAAAATTGTAGACGCACATCAATGGTTGATGGTTCAACCTTAAAAAGTTTCAGCTTATAATTCGACATGCATTAATAGAAAAAAAAATTGTACGTGAATAGTATCAAAGTATTATTCACCCAAAGCTGCCACTATTCACATTCAAATTTGTCTTTTTTGCATCTCCAAATATACATCGAGATTTGAGATGATTTTTTCGGAGTTGTAGACGTACCCCACATGGATGTTATCAAATAGTTTCATACTTTTTTTGAAATGTCTAAATTGAATTTTTAGGGTTGATCTCACGATCTCACCTAATGTGAGATCTCATACAATTCTCCCCCTTGATGATGTGATTCGCGACGCTGAAGCGGCACACAATCCCTCGGAAGAAGCTAATGGCGGTGTTGGCGGTGACCTTGGCGATGGGCACGGCCTCCACCCATTTGGTGAACTTGTCGATGACATGTAGAGGTACTCGTAGCCCCCGACCGCCCGGGGCAAGGCCCCAAAGATGTCCAGCTCATAAACCACGAAGGGCTACGAGAGGGGGATGGTGTGGAGGGCCTGGGTTGACTAGTAGATCTGCTTTGGATGGAGTTGGCACACCTCTTGGTGTTGGACCATGTATGTGGTGCCCTACAGGGCAGTACGCCACTAGAAACCCTGCCGAAAAACCTTACCGATCAACGTGCATGAAGCAGTGTGGCTACCGCACGCACCCTCATGTATGACCGCGAGTAGGTCACAACCTTCCTTCCTGAAGATGTACTTGAGCAAGATTCGATCAGCGTCGCGCTCGTAGAGCTCTCCGTCCATTAGCATGTAGCGCTTCGCCTGTTCGGTAATCATTTTCGCGTTCACGTCATCTTCATGGAGGATATTAACATCTAGGTAGCCGTTGATCTCGAAGATCCATGAGGGCTCCTGAGTATCGTCCGTGATTCCAAGGTTTTCGCCAAGGAAGGGGGTCGTGCTTGGAGCTTCCTGTGATAGGGGCCGAAACAAAAGGCGTCGCCCGGGTCCCCTCGCTAGAGCGAGAGGGGCCCTTTGTCATGCTCGATAACCAATTCCTCCTACTGGGAGATCCTTTTCTCATGAGCTCCGACCGGGTCTTCATTGCCCAGGTTTCCCCAAATATCAGGATCCACGGAGGCGTCTGGCTTAAAGTGGTGAACGCAAAGTACTTGGGGGATGGTAGCCTCAGTTTGGTGTTGGCCGAATCATAGAGTGACACCGGGGTAACCTCAAAGGAGTGAGTCATGACCCTGTCGCCCTAAGTGAGTATCCCAACGCCCTGATCGGGCGGATAACCGGGTGATCCTTTCTTCAAAGATACTGACCGGAACCGCTCCTAAAGGGGGGCCAATAGCGATAGTTGGCCCGCCGGGACATTTTTGTAGTGTGGCATATGCTCCAGCCACAACCCATTGATACGTCTCCAACGTATCTATTTTTTCTCACGCTTTTCTTCTTGTTTTGGACTCTAATTTGCATGATTTGAATGAAACTAACCCCGGTCTGACGTTGTTTTCAGCAGAACTACCATGGTGTTGTTTTTATGCAGAAATAGAAGTTCTCGGAATGAAATGAAACTTTGCGAGGATTTTTTATGGAATAAATGAGGTTTTTTGGAGCCAACAACTACCGGAGAGGGGCCCCTGGGTGGGAACAACCTACCAGGACGCGCCCCCCTCTCCTGGCGCGCCCAGGTGGGTTGTACCCACCTGGTGGCCCTGTAGACCTCAACCCTGACACTATAAATTCCTATTTTCGGAGAGAAAAATGAGGGAGAAAAATTATCGCATTTCACGAGACGAAGCCGCTGCCAAGCCCTGTTCTTCCTCGGGAGGGTAGATCTGGAGTCCGTTTGGGGCTCCGGAGAGGGGGGTCTTCGTTCTTCGTCATCGCCAATTCCATGATACTCCCCACCGGGAGTGAGTAATTCCTTCGTAGGCTCGCTGGTCAGTGAGGAGTTGGATGAGATTCATCATGTAATCGAGCTAGTTTTGTTAGGGCCTGATTCCTAGTATCCACTATGTTCTTAGATTGATGTTGCTATGACTTTGCTATGCTTAATGCTTGTCACTTTGGGCCCGGGTGCTATGAACTCAGATCTGAACCGTTTATGAATTCATCATTATATCCATGTTTTAGATCCAATCTTGCAAGTTATAGTCACCTACTACGTGTTATGATCCGACAACCGCGGAGTGACAACAACCGGGCCCACTCTCGGTGATGACCGTAGTTTGAGGAGTTCATGCATTCACTATGTGTTAATGCTTTGTTCCGGTTCTCTATTAAAAGGAGGCCTTAATATCCCTTAGTTTCCAATGTGGACCCCGCTGCCACGGGAGGGTAGGACAAAAGATGTCATGCAAGTTCTTTTAATAAAGCACGTATGACTATTTACGGAATACATGCCTACATTATATGGATGAACTGGAGCTAGTGTCGTATCACCCTAGGTTATAACTGTCTCATGACGAATATCATCCAACAAGTCACCGATCCAGTGCCTACGAATTTATCATATATTGTTTCTGCTAAGTTACTACTACTGCTGCTACTGTCACACTTGCTACAAATTACTGCTATCACTGTTACTGTTACCGTTGCTGCTGTCACTACTCTCAAAACTATCAAACTACTTTGCTACTGATCACTTTGCTATAAATAATTAATCTACATGTGTGGTTGAATTGACAACTCATCTGCTAATACCTTCAAATATTCTTTGGCTCCCCTTGTGTCGAATCTATAAATTTGGGTTGAATACTCTACCCTCAAAAACTGTAGCGATCCCCTATACTTGTGGGTTATCAAGACCTTTTTCTGGCGCCGTTGCTGGGGAGCATAGCTATATTTGTTGAGTCACTTGGGATTATTATCAATTTATCACTATGAAGAATCTGAAGGATCGAAAGACTAAGATATTTCCCTCTAAGATGAGGGGAGGTAAGGAACTGCCATCCAGTTCTGCTTTAGATTCGCCTTTTATTATGAGTAAACTTGCAACACCACCACATGCTATCAATTCTAATATGTCACAAGTTATTGATGATGCTACTTCTACCATGGATAATGCTTATGATGATGCTAGTACCATGCTTGATAATGATGATGTGCCACTTGGTGAATTTCTTGATGAACAAATTGCTAGAGTAACACAACATGATGTTGTTGAATCTGATGATGAGCTTGAAACTGAAACTCTTGAAACACCTACTAGAACTAGCCTTCCTA